CAACCCCTACACTGCAAGCTGTACTCTCAGGCCCTGAGGCTGAGGCTGATCACATTTTGTTTCTGTTACACAAATCTTCCTGCTGTGGGTTGAGCTCCTTTAGGGTCTGCACCTTTTCTATAGCTCTGACCCTGGCAGTTGGTGCTAGGCATGTTCCTCAGAGGTGCTGGGGAAGTGTTTGTTGGATAAATGACTGGGAACTTGCAGAACACCTGATCTGCTGTCCCTTATGATGATACACAGGACTGTTATTGTACTGTGTGGTCATAGGTACAGGAGGGAAATGCTCAGGTCATAGGCATACTAACACTTCTCTGACCCACATATGCCCAGCTTGGCTATTTTAGTTCTTCTCACTTTGACAGCATTTACCTTGTAGGTCCAAGCGAGCAGCTTTCTCTAAAACCACTCTATAAGGTTTTTTTGTTTGTTTGTTTTTTGGGCTTTTTTGTTTGTTTGTTTGTTTTCCGGTACCTGGAATCGAACTCATGACCTCACACTTGCCAGGCAGGTGCTGTGCCGCTGAGCTAAATCCCCAGCCCTCAACTCTATAACTTTTTACTGAGCACCAACTAAGTAGGCAAAACACAGGGAGAAGAAGGTTATAGAGGGAGAGCTTCATGCGTTCTATTAAGCACCTCTGAGGTATCTGATGTATTCTCATCCACTGCGCTAGGCAGAAGAATGTTCCTCTCCCCCAAAGATGTCCACCCTAACCCTAATCTCCAGAACCTGCGAGGATAGTGTTTTCACGACAAGAGAAAATAAGGATTATAATTGAAATTAAGTTTGCTAATCAGCTGCCCTGGACATGGGAGATTATCCTGTATCACCTGGGTGGGCCCCAGGTAACTACAGTCCTTCTACGGAGAGAGGCAGGAGGCTCATTATTGGAGTCAGAAAGGGAATTAAAGCTGCTACACTGCGGTTTTGAAAGTGGAGGAGGGCCGGGCGTGGTGGTGCATGCCTGTAATCGCAGCACTCGGGATGCTGAGGCAGGAGGATTGTTGTGAATTCAAGACCATCCTGGGCTATAAAGTGAGTTCAAGGCCAGCCTGAACTGCATAGCCAGACCCTGTCTCAAAAAAAACAAAAAAAGAAAAAAGAAAGAAAGAAAGTGGAGGAGGGAATCATGAGCTGAGAAAAGTGAGTGGCCTGTGGAAGCTAGGAAAGGCTACAAAAGAAAAACGAAGACATGATCCAGCAAAGCCTGCCCACACCTCGATGCTAGCCCGATGAGACTGTTTCAGACTTCTGACCTCTAGAACTGGAACACAGGCATCAAGAAAACTGCGTCAAATTTTCTTGGCTTTGGTCAGAGCCAAATCCTAGCAGCAGTCCCCACTTTCCGAATGCTTACAGCGTTGCATATTCTACCAATGCACTCTCCCAGAAACAGGCGTTTCTACTTTCATTCTCTGTGGGAGGAAACTGAGGCTTGCCCAACAGAATAAGGAGCACAGACAGACTCCAAACCCAGGCCGGTCTCTACGAGGCTCACGAAGACACTTCTTTAGGGGCTGAGAGTGTAGGGTATTTGGCTTGATCACCAGTAGTGCCTCCCCCACCCCCTGCACAGGAAGGAAAGAAAGGAGGGTGGGAGGGCAGAAAAAAAGGAAAGAAAGGAGAGGAAATACTTTAGACCACCGAGGACAGCCTGCACTTGAGCTTGCCTGGGTGAACTGCACCCAAGGGTGCTGGGGGCCTTTCCTGGCTCCTGCTGGGGCAGTGCCCGGAGGATCTTGAACACCCTATCCCTGTGATGAGGAGGCGTGGATGAAGCCAAACCTGGGCTTCTCAGTGTCCTACCTGGGCTGGGGTTGGTTTTCTTCTTTCTCTCTCTCTCTGTCTCTTTTTTTGGTGATGTTGTTTGAGACCAGAGCATCACTATGTAGCACAGGTTGGCCTCACCCCGCTGCATGCGGGGATTACAGACGTGCACTACTATGCCTAGCTCATGGGCTTGGTTTGGTTTTCATCTGGCCAAGGGAGATGGAAGCACAGACACTGGAGGACCCTGGTTCCCAGACAAGCTGCCTGCATTTGTGTCCTGTTTGATCCCTTGCTCACAGCGACCTTGGGCAAGTGCTCTCCTGCAACCTGTGTTAGCTTCCTAATCTGTAGAATGGGGACTAGAGCAGTAACTATCTTTAAGAGGATTCTATGAGTTATTACTTGCAATGAACTTAGATTACCTACACCAAAGTAAGTCTTTGATAAACATCACCATTTGCACTATTATTTCATGGCCTAGGACACCCACCCCACCCCAAGCGTACTTCTTCAGAATTTCCCAGCTGTGCTGACAGATCTCAAACATACTCTTTTCCTGTGGATATTTTTATGTGCTCACCAAATATCTCTTCAGCAAGTTCCAACTTTTTATGGGTTCACAGACCATCTGGGAGTCTGACAAAACTACAGACTTTTGTAATTAGTCCACACCCTTCTTCTCTGGAAATTGTCCCCTGGTGCATGCGGGTAGATTTCCACAGCTGTGCTTGACCTCTGTGGGTGTGCATGGGCCCCAAAGTTCACAGGACGCCTTGCTCACCCTAGTGGGCACCCAGGCCTACTGCACCCACAGCTTACCAGCTGCACAGGCTGTGCACTGCTCAACACCAGGGGGCTCCGGGGAATAGACTACAATTCACAATCCTGGAATTGTGCAACAGGGCGCTTTGAGAACCTCTGAACCAGCCTGAAAGGATCCAGTTCTCTCTCAGGGGAATTTAAGGGTTAGGGCTCTAAGATTTGTGTCTGCTGGCTCTTGCAGACCTTGAGGAGGAAGCATTTATTATTCCTTTTTAGAAATGAAGAAACTGGGGCTGGGGATTTAGCTCAGTGGCACAGTGCCTGACTGGCAAGCGCAAGGTCATGAGTTCAATTCCTGGTACCGGAAAAAAACCAAAAATAAAATAAAATAAAATAAAATACAAATGAACAAACTAAGGCCAACAGAGGTTAAGCTGTTGACCCCAGGTAGAGGAAAGACAAGATTGAAACTGAAGCAGTCTATGCTTCTGGGCAGAGTAGACTGGCTCCCCATAAAGCCTTTATCAGAACAAAGTCCCTAATAAAGGAACAAACAGCAAACAGCAGATCAGTAAGAAAAGCAGCATGCAGAAGGTGTTAAGTGCTAGATAGGAGAGAACAGAGGAGGGGAAGGTGATTGACAGTGTAGGGTGGGGAGGTGGGAGAGAAGGCAGGTGACTGGCATTTAAACAGGGGGGGCTAGGGTAACTGCACTGAGATGACAACATTAGAACTATGACCTGAAAAAAGTGAGGGAGTTGGCCATGTGGAGGTCTCAAGGAAGAGCATTCCAGGCAGGGGACGCGGCCAGTGCCAATGTCCTGGGGCAGCCAGCATGCCTAGTGCAGTCAAGGAACATTAAGGAAGCAGAGCATGAGGAGGCGTGAGGAAGCTGCTGGGAGGCCTGGCTACCAGATTTGGAGCTCTGACCGAGCTCTGACCGAGCAGTTTTAGTGGCTTGTGGCAGCAAAGGCCTGAACATAAGGAGTGTAAGAGAATACTGGCTGCCGGCATCAACCTGATTCCTCCCTCCTGACCTCCTTGTCCCGCTATTGCAGCAGCTACTTGCGGCTGGGGCCACCACCACCTTTCTCTGGGCCTCCACCCTTGTGCTCCCTGCTAGCCTGCTCCCTTGCCATCCCTTTCTGGAGCATATGGTTCCTTTTCTTGTTTGTTTGACACAGGGTCTTGCTATGTAGTTCAGGTTAGCTTTGAACTCACTATGTAGCCTAGGTTGGCCTTGAACTTGAGGCAATCCTCTTGCCTCAGCCTCCCAAGTGCTGGGATTACAGGTGTGGGCCATCACTCCTGGCTTGTTCCTTTCCTTAAAACCTTCAAGGGCTTTGACTCACCTGGAACCCTCCGAGCTCCTGCTGCCGTCCCTGGTGGTAGCACACAGGCCGGCTCCCAGGGCCTCTCTGCACTTATTACCTTCCCCGCTGCCCCATCCCGGCAACATCCTGGACCCACCCTTCACCTAGGACCCAAATCAAGCATAATAATCCCATGATAGCGGCGACCACTGTCCAAGCAGTTGCTCCTAATGCTGTAGTTATTTGATGCCCACAAAGCGTAGTGGTAGAGCGCATGCGCGAAGCCGTGGGTTCAATTCTCGGCTTCATTAAAAACCCAGAATCTCTTTAAAAAAATCTTGACGCTGAGAAATATTTTCACTAGATACATCAAACACTGGGATGCTTACATCTCCCCCTCATTCTCATTTATTTAGATCTAAAATAAACATAATCTTGGGCTGACACAACATCAAATGCCTATAGATTAATTAAAAACCAGGGAAGCAGTTTAACCGAAAGCACACAATTCGGCATCCACAGAACCACTCCCGGGATTTAGGACTCTCCCACCCTAAGACTTCCCTGGTTTTTCCAGAGGACCTCAAGATCGTAAGATAAACCTAAATGGATTTCTGCCCTGAACCCCATTCCTTATTATTTTTTAGCCAACGTCTGCTATGCAGTTCATGCTGCACTATAGTTCGCTATGTCACCCAGCCTGGCCTCGAACTCGCGGCGAACCTCCTTCCTCAGCCTCTGAGCCTCATTCATCATTCACCCCGGGGGATGATGAGAGTGTTGAGGGGTGAAAGGCACCAGAGGCGCCCAGGAAGAGCGAAGGCTCGGATACAGGAGAGGTCAGAGCGTAGGAGGAGGGGGACCAAAGCAGAGGGAGCGGTGCACAGCGAGGCAGGAGGAGCTTCCGCGCAGGCGGGGCGGGGGGCGGAGCTGGGAGGAGGCAGGTCTCAGGGGCGTGGCCGAGCCCCTGGGAGAGGGCGGGTTTTTTTTTCAGATTAGGAGGGTTTGGGCGGAGTCGTTGAGATAGGCTAGAGACCTGCGAGCCCTTGGGGGCGGGGCCTAGGGGGACGAAGACCAATGAGGACGGGGCCGAGTCCGAGCCCTTGTAGGAGGGGCCAAGAAGTTCGAGAGGCTCAGGGGCGGGGCGGGACGGGGCGGGGCGTGCTGAGGCCGGGACGGCGCCCGCTGCGGGCTTTGAGGCCAGCACAGCGCGGAGCAGCGCAGAGCCCCCCACGCCGAGCTCCAGCAGCCCCCGCGCCCCAACCCAGCGTCCGCCATGCCTGAGCAGCTCAGCGTCGCCGAGTTCCTGGCAGTCACCGCCGAGGACCTCAGCTCCGCGGCCGGGGCCGCCGCCTTCGCCGCCAGGATGCCCCGGTGTCGGGGGGCGGCGCTGGCGCGGGAGGAGGTGAGGGGACGAGGCGGGAGGGGCCGAGGTTTGCGCGGGGCCTGGCGTTGACCTTTCCAGGTGTGACCCGAGCTGCGGTGGCCCCAGAAACCCACCCCTCCCTAGATCTGTGGGAACTGAGCGCATCTCCAATGTCTGCTGGTCCTCACTGTAGAAGCGGTGGAGAGACCGAGGGACATTGTGAGGGACCCCGAGGTCACCTCGAGGAGAGGCTCCACGTGTCGGGGCACATCCCCCAAACGCGCTGGGAGACCTGCCCGTCACATGTGTTTGCTCATCGCCTAACAGCTCTGTGTTTTCATCTTCGGAGCTCCACCAGAGAGCCCCCAAGCCACTCCCCTTCTGAGAAGTAGGCTCAGTCCTGAACTTACTTCTCCCCGGCTGCAGGGAGGCTTCCTCCCCCTGGCTGCTGGTTCTGAGACTTGGCTCGCCTTACGGAATGAATGCGAATGGGAAGGCGCCAGGAGCCGGGGTTCACCTTGGCCGGGCTGCTGGCAAGTTTATAGGCTCCTCTCCCCTCCCCTCTCTCCTTTGTGTTTCCCAGCGCAGCCTCCCAGGCCTTTTCTTTCGCCCTTGCAGGCTGCCCCACCCCATTCCCGTGCTCACTGGAGTTCATACCGTGTCTCTGAACTTGCTGCAGCTTCCCTGGCTCCTCTGCGGGGAATATTCCTGGGCAAACACCCCGTGGAATGCGATTGTTGAGCTCTCCTTCAGAGGATGCCCCGAATTAAGGTGGCGTTTTCTACATTTAGCAGCACACCCAGCTTCCCATCCTTCACCATAACTGTTCTTGGCACCTACTGCATGGCACATATAAAACTACATAGTTACCAGGCATGGTGGCGCATGCCTGTAATCCCAGCACTCTGGAGGCCGAGGCTGGAAAATTGCTGTGAGTTCAAGGCCAACCTGGACTAGATAGTGAGTTCAAGGCCAGCCTGAACTACATAGGGAGACCCTGTCTCAAACAAAACAAAACAGCAACAACAATAGCAAAACTCTGTAGTTATAAATACTCTCTGTCAAGTCTTGGGAAATGTCTCCTCTTCTCCCCCGGAGTACTGTGTGTCTCCTTTGTAAGTATGATAGAAGACTACAAAGAGCATCGACTCTGGGGAGGGCTGACCAGGTTCAGAGTCTGGCTGTGTTCAGAGTTTGCTAGCTGGGTGAGCTTGGCCATGTGATTTAATCTGTCATCTGTAAAATGGGGATAATGTTTACCTCACACGGTTATGGTATTACATGAAGCAGTGTGTGTAAAGCATGCGTCTTGATAAGTGGGATGCTTACTGTGAGCTTCATTGATAGACCTGTTTAGATAGTGGGTGGGTCTCTTGGGTCTTCATTTCTCTTCGACATAGCTGGAGTATGTGTTTGAATGAAAAATAAGAGGCAGCCAGTGGGGTTGGGATTCCTTGCTTGGGCAGAAGCAGTGGTTTGGAGTCTACTTCCTGTGAATGTGGGTATTTTACCGGGGGTCTCACAGGGAAACACTGCCACACAGCCTCATCCTGAGAAGTGTTTCCTTGGGTTTGTCTTCATGGCCTCACATTTCATGACCGGGAAGAGCTCAGTGCCAACCGCACTGTTAGGACTTTCATGGTTCACTTTCCTCTTCCGGTCGTTCATTAGAAGGTTAAATCAGCAAGAGAAGGGGCTGCAGTATGAACTCTTCTCTGTGGACAGAAATGTCCATTTATGCGCTGCATCTGGCCTTGCCTGGCTTTGTGTATATGAACACTTTGTGCTGGGGGAAGGGACCCTTAGAATGGGTCTAGAAGCCAAGCAGGCTTGAGTGAGAGCTCAGCTTTGCTGCAGTTCAGGCCAGACAAAACCCATTTTCCTTTGCCTTCGGATCTCTGTTCCTTGCAAGAGTTTGATTTTATAATAGGAAGATTTGGGCCACCCAAACATGGCTTTTCTCTTCAGACGGGTGAGAGGGAGGATATCAGGAACCCAGGAAGTCATTGCCCTAAAAGTTAAGAGTCTGCCCTTTGGATTAGACTTTCCTGAGGTTTCCTGCTTGGTTTTGCATTTGGGTTTGTACGTTGCTGTTATATCGTGCTTATGCATAGTTTGATGCTGTGAATACCCACCCCCCCCAACACACACACACAGTTTTAAGCATGACTAACCCACCCCCCGGCTTCACACTCCATGTGGCCGAATCAAAGAGCAGCTGATTCTTAAATGAAGTCTTCCAATTCCAGCCATGTTCCTGGAACTGACTGGCGACCCTGTCCTAGGACTTGCAGCTCTTCTTACCAGCCCCATAGGGAAGGACTCTGGAAGTCACAGGAGACTTGGATGCCTGGGCTGAGGGACCTTTAACCTAGAAATCAGCTAGGAATTGTCTCTTTAAGATGGGGAAACCCATGTCTAGAAAGGATAAGGGACTTTCCAAGTTCCCACAGTGGAGTAGAGGGAAAACTGGCATTTCTTCCCAAGTGCTCTAGCTGCTGGTCCTGTTTTCTTTTTTCCAAAGACCATCTGTCTGTCTTTCTTTCTTATTTGAACCTCAGTTGTTTCATTCTTAAAATGGGTCTCATAATTCCTCCCTGCTTAACTCACTGGGCTGTTAAAGGTTTTTTTGTTTTTAATTATGAAACACTGTAGAGTGGGGAGTATTATGATAATCATGTCCACTAGTTTCTTCCTGTCCTGGGTCCCATTGCTATGCATAGCATAGTAGCAGAGGCTCAGGAAGGTTAAGGCAGTGCCCTGTGTAATATAACAGGTCTGTCTGACCCTGCTGTGCTGTGGTCAGTTCTCTGCCCCATCTCTGTACTAGGTACCAAGGAAGTAAAGGTGATGCCTTGGTTTGCTGACTGCCTGGGGACCTGCAGTCCATCTTGGGGAGATAGGTAGAAATGCCAGGAGTCTGTGCTGAGTGCCTGGATGAAGTTCCACTCAGTGCCATATGAGGCCAGTGGAGCAGGGGAGGGAGAGAGTCAGGGAGAACCCCACAAGTGATGAAGCAGGGACTGGTGGGAGAGAGCATATCAGGGACCCGATAAGCCCTTTGGACCTATCCTCTCCCCATGGGTAATTGCCGCAGAAATGCGCATGTTCCCACTGTGTGTCCTCAGAGAAATCCTGTTATTGGTGAGGAGAGGGGTGTGCCTCGGGAAATGTTTACCTAAATTGGTATCATCTCTCACAAGGGACAGCTTGAATTTTGTTGGGGTTATGTTTATCTTTTCCTTGGTGATTTCTGCTTTTTAAAATCTTGCTATCAAAAAGTATGTTGTTCTTAATTTTTTTAAATATTTGTGTGAACTTCACAGTTGGCTTCCGGATAGATCTATGTTTTATTGTAAGAGTATGGAATCCTAGAGATGGTTTGCAAGAACCAGAAACCCTCTCAAACTTATTTCTGTTGAAGGGAAATTGTTTTAAACAACTAGTGGTTCCTTGTAGAATCAAAGAGCGTGAAGTACAGGCGGACCTCCCCGGGGCCTGGACCTCCAGCCCGGGCCTCGTCAGGAGTAAGCCGGCTCCTTCAGCGCTCTTGCTGTCCGGCTTCTGTTTCTCCCGGCGTGCCTGATCAGTGATTTTGCTTCCTTATCATCTCACAGGCCCCACAGCGCAGCTCCAGGCTGCATATTCACGTGACCTCACTAGTCCAGCGTCTCAAGGTAACCGAGCCGGTCTCGTGTCCCACTTCCAGGTTCCTGGCAGAGGCTGACAGCCAGGCCCTGCTTCTGGATTGGTTCCAGAAGCTGGGTCTCCACCCCTCGTTTCATCAGCAAAGGTCATGGAAAGACAGGCTCAGGCAGGGTAACCATGGTCACAGAGCCCGACCAGGTGGCAGGGGGCGCTTCTCAGGGAAGAGCGGTTCCTCTGCATTTGGCATGCTCTCGGCCGCAGGGAGAAGCACCGTGCCCGTCCTGTCCGGTACCCCCCGGTTTAGACCATTTGCATGGATTTCCCTGAGTACATGAACCCCAGCTAGGAAAGCTCAGGTGGAGGGGAATTGAAAGTACAGGTCAGAGGGGCTGGGGATTTAGCTCAGTGGCAAAAGCGCCTGCCTGGCTATAGCGCAAGGTCGCGAGTTCGGTTCCCGGTACCGGAGAAAAAAACCAAAAAAAAAAAAAAAAAAAAAACAAAACGAAAGTACAGGTCAGAATGCTAAGGCGGTACAGCAAGACATGAAGCTTCTTGAATGCCAGTTAGGCATTTGGACTTCTTATTGGGCAGTGGGGAGTGACAAACCAGCCATATTGCCCAAAGAATAAAGGAAGCTGGCTCTGCCAACGGCCACAGCAGCATACCGGCCTCTGTGGTAGGCACAGGGGCAGGCACACTGCTCAGTAAAAGAGATGCAGGCCTGGCCCTTGGAGTTTACAGTCTTCTGGGTAAACAGATAGGTCAGATATTACATGCTGTGGCAAGTGGCAGGAAGGCCCCTCCTCCTCGTTAAGGCCTTCCTGGAGGGTGGGTCCTGGGTCCTACCTCTCCGTTCTCGAGCCTCACTCTGCAGGCCGGCCAGTCCACACCCATGGCTGTGTTACCTCCCGCCTCTAAGTGACTCACACTTTTGTACCTCTAGCTCAGAGTCTCATATACAGCCGCTTGCTACCAATTTTACTTAAACCACACTCGTGGCTCCCCCAGGCTGGTCTCCAGAGTCCCCTTCCCAGCGTCCGTCTGTGATTTTGCACAAGCCGGAAGGCCCACTCTGCCACCACTGTCGCCCTTCCTCACTGTGTCATCAGTTTGACCTTCCGAGCATCTCCCCATTCTGCCCACTTCTCTGCATCCCTCCCCTAGTCCACACCCCTGTCCTCTCTTCCCTAGAGCCCAGCAGTGGCCTCCCTGTTTTGTCTGTCTGTCTGCTCTTACTCTAGCTCAGTCCCCCAGCGGCACTGTCTCTCTCTGCTTTACAGTACACATCATAATTGTACATTTCTTTGTGCTATTATTGTAATGAATACAGTTTTACTCCCTTAAGAGTAGAATCCAATTTCACTGTTGTATCCTAAGTATTCATTTATCTA